TGTTGTGATCATTTTCAATTTTATATAGGCCATGAAACTTAAAATATGCCAATAAAGTTAAATGCTTTAGTTAATTTTGAATCATATGGATGACAATAAATTGATAACAAATACGATGAGTATTTATGGCATATTTTTATTCGCACACTACATTTGTACATGCAACGTTTGCGAGGCAAACGATTTTTAATTAAAAAAAAGACGAATAAAAAATGTTCTAGAATGTTGGTCAGTTTGTTATAAATAAGATATATCTTTATTTCGGCTAGTATAAATCACATATTTAACGACGTATCTCACATCCAACTCACTATTGCGGTCAATATTTTGTGTCAGTTCTTTGCATCAAACAGCTCATCCTCGATAATCCATTTGAATTTGAAATTCATTACATTTCTGAGATTTTTGGATTAAGAGAGAGGCAATCGTATCGGATCGACAATCTTCTTTTCATTATTTTTTCTTTTAATTTGTTAGTCTTTTCAGATGATTCGACTATAGAAGAAGTATATATTCTTATACTCTGATAATGGTCGAACCGTTCCAGCAACTGCATATCGAAGATAAGTGATTTTAGTCTTCTGTTAAGTATTTTTACAATTCCTTCCATTAGAGTCATATATTCTGATGGAAGATATAATGAATTGTAAATGTTCTGTTCTAATTAAAATTTTGTTTCCCATTCTATTCTAATGAAAGGTATGTTTAGTATATCCTCTCATTATATCTTCCATTGGAACAGAATAAGAATATTTGTTGAATGTGTTGAATGTATTGCATACTTTCTGGCTGGTTGTTATTGCTAAGTTCTAATTACGTATCATGATATCAGGAAATAAGATAAATTTGTCTTTCTTTCAAGTGTTATTTAGTTGTTTAAGTACAAATGTTTTTTAATGGCACGCAATTGCATGTAAATTTTCGACGTTACAAATTCTGAAGAATTTAGTTTTAACATTCAGTGCAGGTCTTTTTTTTGTGATTGCGTTATTTTTCATCACTTTCAAACGACAACCATTGTTTAATGGATGCGATTTCAGTGAAGTCGATATAATTTAAGGTTTTTTGATATTCCGGAAACTTTCTAGTTTTGCTGAAATTAATTTTGTGTCTAAGTTTACTTCAAATACTACTTTGCCGAAACAGTTATAAGTATTGAATGCAATACAATTCTAATTACCAATAACTGATGGTGGCTCCTGAAAATGTACCAGTGCAACCATTTTTTCTGATTCTGCAATTATTTCATTGATTGTTAAAAAACCGTTGTGATCGGAATCGATGTATCCAAATGCTTTTATTAATTCAGTTTCGCTTTTCTGAAATTTTCACTAATTACAATTCAATTGTAAAAGGAGTTACATTAGGGTACGGTAGGTTGCAACGTACATTTTTGTGATTTTATGTTCATTCACGAACTGAGACATTTCCTGAACTGCTGCTGATAATGGTACTGCCAAATTATCGTATGGCCTTATTGATACAGTAAAAGAAAATGTCAATCTTTTACCTATTCTCACATTATGCAAAATTAAACAAATTAATTATTTTAGTTCTATTGTCCCATAATTTAACTAAAAATAATTTTTGAAGTATTTATAGCATTGTTAGATGGTTTGAAAAATCAAATAACTCACGCCATTACTTACTTTAATATTTGCATCAGCAAAAGTGCGCACCTCCTGAACAGATAATTTTTGATCAAAATTTTGGTCAATAAGTGTCATCAATTGATGGGCTAGATTTTGATTTCCCTTCATCTGAATATTTGTGTTAACAAGTTTAAAAACAAGTCCTTTAATTAAAAAGGTCTATGCTTAATAGTGACAATAATAATAATAAAAATAATAATAGCAGCAACAATAGTAATGATAATAATATTAACGTTACCCTTCTTTCGTATGATAACATGACTTAGTTTAGTTTCGTACGGCACATTATCACATGCGCATATACCAACATTTGGATTATTCTCTCGTAAAGTTTAACAGAATTCACGCAGTAAATGAAACATTATTTTCAATTGCATTTGTTAAGAACTAAAAATTAATTAAAAATTATCTTTTCTTTTTGGAATGACTACAAAGAATTTACCCTTTCCTCACTAAAATAATATTTGCTCACCTGCGCTTTTGGTTGAACATTCGAATTGCCATCCATAACAGATGTAAATTCAGCAAAAGTAATTTTGCCGTCATTATTTAAATCAATTAGCTGAAAGTAAAATGCAAAAGTAATTGTTCATTTTTAAGTTCATTTTTTAATCAAAAATTTCTTTCACTTACTAATTTGATTATCGCATTGTTTAATTTCACTTTGTTTTAATTATTCAGCAAACAAACCTGAAAGATTTCATGCACGATTTTTCCATTAATCCCATAATCTCTCGATTGAATTGCTTCAGTTGGCGTTATCACACCATCACCATTTTTATCTACTCGCTATGATGAAACAAATTGATTGAATAAACCAAGGATAGTCGGATGAGCAGATCGAGAGCTTTTTGAACAAATCAAAGATCGGTCAAGTGAGGAGATGATAAATCGATCGGAAATTTCCGAGTAAAATATAAAATCGATCAAATGAGTAGATCAAAAATTGACGAAAATTTTTTAACAAATCGAAGGATAACACTGTTTTCCATATTTTCTTTTTTTTCTTCTTTTTTGACTTTCTCGATTTATCATTCTCACTTGCTATTACCTTTATCAAGCTCGATTATATTTTTTTTCTTAAAAAAGAAAAAAGGATAGATAAAGCAAATTTTTTGAAATTAATTGATAATTTGTCAAAATTAATTGATAATTTGTCAAACATTTTCATTGAACAGAAATATTTAAACATTTTCTTAATTCGAAAATTTAAATAATTTTTTACCTTAAAAATTTGTTCATTGCGATTGATCGATTTTCGGGTTAATAACAATGTTACAAATTCGGCTATATTTAACATATCATCACTATCTCGATCCTTTGATCGAATCATTTCTTTCAATTCCTTATCACTCTTAATTATGTGATTCAATTTGTGCCAATTTTTCAATTCGTTGAATGTTATACGCCTATCACCATCACTATCAAGTTCATTAAAACGTACAACTGCAAAGCCAATAAGTGCTATTAGAGTGATAAAAGTGATAATATTAAACAAATGGCATATATTTCAAAATGAATAAATTCGTAATTATGTAAGTCTTAAATTTTGCAAAACGCAAAAGCGAATCTTGAGAGAAATAAATTATTTCTAATACTTAACTTTGAATAATTTATATTAGTGAAGAAAAGTAAAACTTTTTTATCTTTTTTATTTTCAAAAAAAAATTTTTATTATTCCTAGTTACTTCGTCAGTCTATTTAGATCAAGAAAAAAAAACTTGCCAGAGTTTTCACTTTGTCCCAAAATATTTTGCAAAATATAAAAAAGGATAAAACGGAAGAACATCGCCTTGGAAGTTACGCAATCTGAAATGTTATTAAAATTACTCAAATTTATTAGTCGGATATATTCTAACAAAAAAAAGAATTATTTATGAAAAAAAACGATGAATTGCCAAATTCACAACTCAATAATAATTTTTTTTTATTCATCAACAAATATTTAAAATTTCATTTTTAGCATCTTTTATATTCATTTTCCCGTTCTCTCCAATTTGCTGTTAATGGGAAAAAACTTTGTCAAATAGATCTTTTTTCCAAGAATATAATACCGACAGATGAATTTGTTATAACTTTGGAATTACCCGTATCAGTACTATTTCTTCTTGACCATTTGTTCCCACGAAAATGTAAAATTTTAAATTCATTGCTTTAAAATGTACACATTACTACACCAATCTAGTCTACATATGCGTATATATTAATTGAACTGTAAAATATGATTATAAACAATAAAATATAATTTTATAAAAGTTTAGAAGTATAAAGTTGTAGATATGAAAATTATTTCGACGGTTTATGGGAAAAAAATTTTCTAAAGTAACAACAATGCATGAAAAGAATAGCAAAGCACTTCTTGAACATTTTCAATTTATCGAAGCAGTGGAAAATTTCGCCTCGCCAATTGCGCCAACGGCAAACCAGCAAACAATAAGAAAAACGAAATTACAAAGTGTTCTTTTTTACGATATTGTAGAAATTCAAAAAATTTTTTAACTATGGAAAACTTGATTTTTTAAGGAGATTGAGAGATTATTTCATTTTATGTCTTTTTTTTGTATTTTCATTTAAAACAAATAAAAAAAGCGAGAAAGGCAATAAGAGAGAAAAAGAGAGAGGAGGGAGAGAAACAAGTTTTATGCGTTATTTTCAAGGATAAATAGAAAATAATAATTATGCATAAAATCTCATGTAAAACCAGACCAAAGAAATGAGGAATATAATGGGTATATTAATAAATCACAATTTCCACATAACACATGATTACCTGGTGCAATAATTCTTAATTAACCAGCTCTTTATTTTAATTGATAATTACTTCCACTGTTCAACCTATTAATATAACTATTGTTAGTACTACTAAAATATCATTGTTTCGCAACTAATAAGATAATTAAGCAGGTTTACTTATTATTAACAATCAAATAATGTCATATAATTTCTCACGACAATTTTTAAATCATATTTGAATGACTGAAATTTAAATCAGTTTTCGAAAATTTACTTCTTTTATTGATTAAAAATTATCATTTCAATAAAAATTTAATTCAAATTGTAAAAATGAAATTGCATATACTATTTATAATATTAGATAATAATTTTATCTATTAAATTTCCTTCTAAATTTGTGAACAAATTATGAAAAACTATTAACAAGTCTAAAATTTTGAAGTATATTAATAAAACTATTTGAAAAATGTAATTCAATTTATTTTTACTTGTGTTCATTTATACAAATTCTTCACGAAGTTAATGCAATACTGTTGTGATGAATTTCGATATTTAAATTAAATTTTAATCAATCAATAATTTATTTTTATTTTCTTTTTCATTTTTCTTCAAAACTAAGTAAAATGAACATTCTCAATCTTCCATTTACTTCTTTTTCCACTTGACTCTCATTTAGGACGCCAAGGTCACCGAGGTCATTGCTTTTCTCTCTCTCCCTTTTTTTCGATTAATTTACCTGAAGGACGATGTATTAGGTTATGGTGTGTTTTAAACTTTACAATTGCCTATCAATTTTCAACGCCTTTCTAGCGGAAATATTATTGAAAAAGGGTGAGAATTGTCTCGATGTCCTTGTAATTTGATTAAAGCGAATTTTATTTTAAACCATATAAAATTTATACCTTTTCTTGGCAAAATTCGGGCAAAAAAAGACAATAGGTCATCGATTGGTTTTTTAAGGAATTTTTTTTCCTTGATCTTTGATTTTCAAAAAAATGCTCGTAAAAATATTGCAATAATTCAAAAAATTTAAAAGTAAAAAATCAATGTTATTTGATAGATTAATACGTTAAAAGTTTTAATTAAAATTTATTTTCAAAATAACAGAACTGATTTTTTCTCTAATCTTCTATGGTATTTATAATTCAATTAAAACAAACAACAAAATAAGGCTTTATACAAAATGAAATACAATAAAATACTTAAAATTAATTGGCTTAAAAGAAAAAACCATTGGTGTTTTAGTATTTGCCATAATTCGATTACCGTGAAGCTATATGTATTCAGAAATTTTGCAAAAATTTCTAATATGCCAAATGTATAAAAGAAGTGGGATGAAATAAGAATTATAACATTCATATCAATTTGTACTTTACAATTTTCTTTGGCCTGGCCTTTTTTTGATATTACCTGAAATGAAAACGCAAACTTTTATAGCTTAAGTTATAAAATAGAATTCTGTTTTATTAAAAAAAAAGGTATGATGTGTAATATCATACCTTTTTCATCATACCTTTGTGTCAATTATCACCTTACGATTCTCATCAATTTGATTCTTTTTTGGCATTGGTCTGAAATGTGGGACTTGAAATGTTTTAAGGAAAACCTCAAATCATTTCTTTTTTTGACAGAAAAATGAAAAAATTTAAGTCAATATTTACTTAATTATTGTATTCTAATTTTTTCCCCCAAATCATTTTGGGCCAAGAAAACAAACCCTCTCTTTTGTCATTTAAATATGTCCATTATTTTTCCGCATCTGTCATTTTAATGTGACGAACTATTGAAGCGGAACAGTGAGTGTAATGACCGCTTTTTTCCTCTTTTTTTTTATTGTTCAACGCCATCAGATTGCACAGTTTTTTTTTTTTAACTTATTGTACGTAGTGGATGTCGCTGTTCATTAATGAATTTGGACCTTTCATTTAATTCTTTTGTAAATTTAAAAAGAAAGATAAATTTTAATTAAACTCACTATCAATTAATCATTTTCTTGTTCATATATTTGAAATAATTCATGCAAAATATACAAAGGCATTCTTTCATTTGTTTAGAAAAAGAAGAAGTAGAAACAAAGGTGCTAAAATGAAAAGTTTAGGGAATCAATTTGATCAAAATAAAAACAATAAAATAAAAGAAAATCGAGGAAGGATAAGAAAAATTGAAATACGATAGGAAAATTAACAATTGAAATGACCTTCGCATTATTCGTTTCGTTTCCTTTTTAATTTTAATTTTATTTCTTTTTATTCTTACATTTTCCGTTTATTCGTTTACACCGAATATAACTAATATGTGTAAAATTTACTATTTACTTTGCATCGATCGTTTTGATAAAAATTTTAATTCAAATATTTTTTATATCAAAATGAATGAATTATACTAATCGTAATTCTTTTAGCTCATATTTATTTTTTCTTTTTTTTAAACAATGAATTTTTTAGTCTAATCTTTTTGTTGATATTTTTTAATTCTACGATTGATAGAAAAGTAAATTTTTTTTTCATTTAAGTAAAAGTATTTTGACAACTTTTTCTTGGCTTATGCGACAATCAAAAATGCAAAAGCAACTGGTATCTAGGAAATGGTAATTATTTGTAAAACAGTACTGACACTGGTAAGATGCAATTTTTAAATATCGTGACATATTTGCAATATTTAAATCATATTTTTTTTAAAAAAAATAATGAATGGATTGTTACACTTTGCTTGTAAATTTATGTGAATCTTAAAATTAAATCAAAAATTTTTCACAGTTTTCTTTCGACTTTCTTTTTATAATGAGAAATTAAATAATATTCAAATTGAAGATGGATGTAATTAGGTAAAATGGTGAAAGACGATGATGAAGGAAAAGACGAAAAAAGACGGAGTACATCCGTTTTATTATTGTCGCAAGGAATAATGATAGTAATAATAATAATAATACAAATTATAGTAATAATAGTAATAATACCAATAATAATTGACAATCCATTCATCCTATACTATTCATAAAACTTTGCAAAATTAACTTCGACAATTCTATAAAAATCTATTTTCATTTGTTGGTTGAT